TGAGTCACAGTGTAAAGATCTGGTTCTTAGCAGGAGGGAAGCCCTGGGTGTGTCTACTGAGGATCACATCAGGATGTGTGTGTGTGTGTGTGTGTGTGTGTGAGGGAGAGGGATAGAGAAAGTGAGAGTGAGTGAGTGAGTATAAGTAAGTGAGAGAGAGAGCGGATCCATCACCTGTAACATAAATCCGATCCAGATGTGGGAAAAGGGATTCATTAATCAGATGTGTCAGGCTGCATTATGTTCTGTGTGTGCGTGTGTGTGTGTGTGTGTGTGAAGTTCTAGTTTTTGGCCTGTAGGTGGGGTCAAAGTACAGCTGGATTGAGCTTGTCCTGAGAGAAATAGCACTCCTATCTACATCCACACACACACACGCACACGCACACACGCACACACGCACACTGTCGGTAGCTGCCCTGTCCCACTGGAAATAAGGTTTACAGGTAATGACAAGGTCCAGCAGTTACACCTTATTAGAAGTGTTTAACCGTCGATACGGTCAGATAGCCATCAGTTAAGGGGGGATAATGACCTCCAGTCTTTTAAATAGCACAAAACATTTAGTGGCAGGCATGAGGCTAAAGTTCCACTCATGCCATCAAAGCTTATTCGAGGCATCTTGTGTGTTCAAAACAGATGACTTCTCTATTAAAAGTTCCTCTTTCTGTTTCAGTTCCCTGTACTGTTTTGGATTGACACGGAGAGCAACCAGCTCACTTCTGCTTTTCTAGAAAGCAGACAGCACTAAACCAAAACACTTAAACCAGCAGACTGAAAAGCTTAAGGGAGCTCAGGGTGTATGTGTGTCTGCGTGTGCGTGTCCTGCTCCAAACAAATGTTTTCATAATTCAGACGCTTAGTGCAGTGAACCAGCTTGTCTCGCAGTGTAACCATGGAGACTACGCGTTTACTGATGGGAGGTGGCCGAGGATGGGAGCGTTTCCATCCCAAAACAAAAGCGTCTGCGCCCAGCTGGGCAAAAACGACAAGACACACGCTCATCCAATCGTCTGCACATTCGCGTGTGCATGTTGAGCCCATTATCAGCACTCCAATGACAACAATGGCAATCAATACCAACTATCAAGCACGCTATGTACACACATATAGAGCCATTATTCTTGTATTCTGAGCAAAGTATTTTTGGCCATGAGTATTTCAAAATGCTCCCAGGTTACTCCCCCATGCCACTTTCACAGACTCACCAGCGCTACAAAGACTAACTTTTGATCTCAAGAGAATGTTACACAGACGAGGTGATACAGTTGCAATTCAGGCTGGTTATTAATATAGATTACAATGGCTGTGAACGAAGCACTACATTCGTGAAACCAACGTGAAAACAATTTGTACTTGTCAAAGTAAATGGAGAGAACAATGATAAGTTGGATAATGGAACTTAAGTGCCTTAAGGAATAATTTATTTTCTTTCGTGGCAATGCTTTCCTGAAATGTTCCCCAAAACTCTGAAAGAAAAAAATAGGGAACATTTCTCAACAGGATGCTGGATTAACAAATCAGCTTGTACAGATCCACACCACAGGCAAATACAGCAGAAGTGAGATTCCAGCTTTTCACATCTAGCACCTGAGGCCACATAATCATCCCACTGGAGTCCAACGTGTCTGGCCTAGTTTGTCTGTTTGTTTTACACCAACTCCTGAGAAAAACATCTGGGTCTTTAGCTTGCTAGATGTTTAGTTTTCTTCCCCTGCTTCAGTCAGTTGGTGCTGGACAGGGAGCGTTATCAGAGCTTGTTTGCCTGTTGCTGCTGGAATCAGGGGAGAGGAAAGACTGAGCTAACATCATAGCCCATAAATAGTGCATTTTAGTCTCACCATAAGTGTTGGTTTATTACTTCCAGCAACGTCTTTGACATTAAACATCACTGTCAATTAATGCTAAATAAAATGTAATTTAAAAAATGAACCAGATTAAGTGTAAAACTTGAACCTACACCGGACCACACCTCATCTCTGTTTACACGCTAAGGGGAATGACCTGCTCATCGTCCCCCTTCTCTCTGTTTCCCGGTGAGAATGACGTGTGTGAGTGAGAGTGTAGCGGGATACTGGGAGGGGTCTGGTTCCAGATGTAAGTGGTACGCGTCAGACAACAAGAGGCCCATGCTAGAAAAGCACAGGAAACGGATAACTGACTTAAGGGGTCCTGACTCAGTGTGTGTGTGTGAGAGTATAGGGTCTGTGTGTCAGCCAGGTCACGGTACAGTCACGGTAAACTTATACCTTTGCATGGGATTGTGAGTCATGCCTATACAGTGAGTCACAGTGAGACCCATGATGAGTCAAGTCCCGCTCACCCATATGCATTTATGGCCTCTTGTATTTTAAGACACTGTTTCCTCACAGTTTCACAGAACAAAGAGATGACTACTACACAACCCAAACAAAGAACATGTGTGTTTGTGATACATTATTTATGTGGGGAAATCCTATGTATTATATATGCTGGGATATGGTAATGTAGTGTGACCCCTGTATGAGAGGGGAAGTGCCTCTATGTATAATGGATGAGTATGTGTCATAAATTATGAGATAAGGGGGAGTAATCCAGCATGGTGCCACTTCAATTTGACTGGGTGGAGAACAGCATGGAGGGAGGGAACAGCGGCACAAGCCTGCCCTCTAGTGTAAAGACCTACTAGTTTGAAGCCGCAGCAGGTACCGGACTACAGCCTGCAGACTCAAAATGATCATATAAATTATTCAATAAAGGGCAACATGAAAAGTTGATTATGATATTAGTTGATCTCCTCGAAATTAATTTTGATAAAAGATGATATGTGTCACACTGATATGCCAAACATTCCCTGGTTAACAAATGGCAGTATTTGCTGCTCTTGTGTTTTCTAGTGAATTGAATATTTTGGGGCGTTGTTGGATACAAAGATGTCACTTGTGGGAATTTGTGAGGGGTGTTCAGGAGATTTTAGTTGCAGCCATAAAATAAATATCTACCAGATACAACCTTAACAAAAGTTGAACAGTACAATTTCTACAAGTCAAGGATTCATTAAAGGGCTGTTGTTTTGGGTTACTTTAGATTGTACAGATTATTCCACCCATTGCCTAAAGGCTCACTAAATGGATCTTTTAAAATTATATAGACATTGTGATCTTACATTTATCTTAACTAATTCACAATTTTAACGTAAAGGTTCTCTCTACAATATTAAGAATATTAATATAGCGGTAAACAACTATTTGCAATGTAAAGATATAGAGGAGTAATGTCTGTCTGAGCAGAGAATGAAGTCACTCTCCCTCTGTGTGTGTTGTTATCCCGGCTTCTCTGTGCTTTGTCTACATAGTCTTCACCATATTAAGAGCTGTGTGGAGGCACTAGATATGCCCTGAATTTTCCAGTTTAAGCATAATTTGATTTAAAAAGAAAACCAGCATTTTCTATTGTTTGCAGATTTTGTCTTTCTGCAAGTTCGTGAGTCTCTTTCTCAATCTTTTTCCTTTGGCCTTTTGTTTTGCATCCTCCCACAAAGCACAATATAAACATGTATACCCCCACTAATTGGAGGCCCTGACCAGATACACAATAACACTACAGGGACCTGAACTGTGTTGCAATTGATTTCCTGGTGACTGGGGGTGCATTTTTGTGGTTACCATAGAGATGTCAAGCGGTGGCCAGCAGAGGAGTTTCTTTAGTTTGGTTGGACGAGTTCTGCAGCGTTACACCGACATACTGCCAGAATCCTAGTTTGCAATGAGATAATGTGTTTTTCTTCTCTGTGTTGAGAGAGTCGGTCAGTGAAACATGATGCTGTGTGTGCAACTGAGTTGAAATTGTTGCGTCATACCTCCTCATGCAAGTTCTCCAGAACTAACAAAGAATTCCAGGGGAACACAACTTAGGTCATTCTGCAATAAACCGTCTAAACTTAATTTCCTAGATTTGTGGATTGACGTGGAACTTAATCAATTAACATAATTCTTCTTGATTGGTCGTCAAGTCACAAGGTTTAACATGTTGTCATACTGAGACAGACTGACGGAGACTCAGTGAGCTAAGTAACAATTTATACAAGAACAGCAGCTATCAGCATGCTCTCTCTTAGAATCCGTCACTCATTCAGTTGGCAAAGAAAAACAATCTTCACAAAGACACAACACACATTTCTATCTATCTATCAGACAGACACACAAACACATTTCTCTCCAGTTCATTTTAGAGCAGATAACAAATTAAGGTAAGAGACCCTTTTCCTGTAAACTGCTCAGCTGTGCTGGCCAGACGGGTGTGTATGTGTGATGAGTGTGACTTTTCATAGATATCACCTAACAACTACTCAAACAACACAGCAAACATGCCGAGGAACATTTCTCATAAACTAAGCTGAAATAGTTCACGTTGTTTGTCGATGTGAGCTCAACTTTAAATCCTTTGATTCAAGGGATCCATGGCTAGTTTTAAACAAAACTCCTTCTGACCCCGACAGGTCTGACTGATCCAACATTGGTCAGGCAGAAAGAGTTACCAGTTTTCCAAAGACACCTGCATTCTAGCTCTGCCAGGGGGCTCTAGAGAGCCAACGCTGTGAGGGGTCCTCCACATCGAAGCCTGCCGGCAAAGCCAGCTCGCAGCTGAATTTGACAGCAGCGAGGGGGCTCGATGATTGTGACATCATTGTTGAACTGTGCCAGAGGGCTGCTTTCTGACTAGGGCAGAGCCAGCTGCCAGTGTCAAGGCAGACACTATGAGCGGGGCTTGTAATGGGGCTGATCAAGGCTTTGTTGTGCTAGTAAACCACTAACTACAGGCCGGTCTGCAGCTGTGGGGTTGTAACAGTTGGCAGGTGTCAGGATTCCCCTCACAAGCAATGCTATTATAATTAATGAGACACATGTATCCTCATTGCAGCCGGCTGCAGCGTCATGAGGTCATAAAATATTCTTAATGCTCCTCAGACTAATGAAGCAGAAGTAAAAACACATAATTTTCAAATGAAAAAGAACAAAACTTACCCATTCCCTAGATCATCAATATCGTCATCATCTTCATCATCATCATCATCCTCGACGTTTGGGCTCTTACTGCCGAGGTTGCTGTTGCAGAGGTAATCTCCCTTCAGAAGGGACGGATCCGAGTCGTCCAGCGCTTCGATTAGTTGGATACGAGCAGTGTGGCTGATACGGAGGGGAACGTCCAACTGGCTGTTACCCGTGGACGGAGCTTCCCCGGCCTGTAGTCGAGGACTGGCTTGACCCTGGCGCCATGACAGCGGAGAGGAGCGATTTGATAGACTGGAAATTGAGAACGCAGCAGCTTCATCGCTGTCGTAGCACACGGTCCCCTCCACACAGCTGTGGAATGAAAAAGAGGGTATGCTTTAGGGATTGCTGGGAAATATTCACAGCACTGTGCTCCCCTAAAGGGATGAAAAGGTCAAGCTCATTTTTAACAGACAGGTAGTGAATCCAATCATCTTTCCTTTTTACCCCACCCTGCATCCTCTTCTCTCAGAGGGATTTTACACAGGCTTAGGGAATAGGTTTTCAGGTGTCCGTGTATACATATTAGTAATGTGCATTGATGTTATATCCATGTCAGCAAACATGCCTTTATGTTCCTCTGTGCCCTGCAGAGCACTGTCATTTGTGTGAGTCAACAAATACCAGCATCCCTAACATCACAATATCATGCATTCCCTGTGTTAAAGCAGCAGAGCTCATCACTGCTTTGTGCTTAGGTTGAGCATTTGCATATTAAAGGTTACTGGCTCTTAAACTGTGTGACAGTACATGCATTTGCATGCTTCATTCAAATGAACCTTGTCTGCAGGATATAGAATCATCTCCACAGAAACCATCAATGAAAACGTTTTCAAATGAAGCATAAAACAGGCAGGAAAGACGTGGAGAAAGGATGAGAGAGAGGATGCTACTTGTCTTGTTCGAATGGATTTTCAGAGGCTTTTTTCTTGTTATGCATTCGGCATATATCAGGGAAAGTATGTGTAGACAAAACAATTCGCTTGCTCACCAATCCATTTGTTCAATTCATGCAAATCTCTCACTCTAAACACTAGTTTTTCACAGGAAATATGACATTTTGTTTGCACAGGAAACTTCCACCGACAGGCTTTAGGCCTCAAAGCAGAATATGTCTTCAGGGACAGCGCGAAGTGATTCAAGGTTATTACACTACGATAAAAGTATGAATGGCAAAGGAAATGTATTCCAGCAGGGAACCATCTGCTGATTTGCTCTTCACGTATACGAGCTCCCACCGAGGGACAGAGAGAGGATACACGGCAGGAGATGCACGGACAGGCAGACAGAGGGGAAGCTCTCAAGGACAAAACGTGAAGACATGCTGAACGCAATCAGAATCAGTCAATGATAGGAAGCAGAGGGAGGGAGAGGACACACCAAAGCTCACGTACACTTAATCGCAGCATTATTGGATGTATTGTTGTGTGTCTGAATATGAGTCGTGACTGTGCATTGGCAGGGTCGGCTTTGAAGTCAGCTTTGAGCTAATCCTGCTTCAGTTCCGTATTAACCAACGCAAAGAGAAAGCAGAGGAGGTAGAAAAGGACAGACTAATGGATACTGGTCGATCAGGAATACTGATATTGTTCTTAAAGCCCACCGGCAGTTAACCACCACACCCCAACACACTGTTAGCAATGTCAATAAGAATGCCCATCTCAACTGCTCTTCTCTTTCACTTGTTTGTCTTTTCTTTTTGTTTCTGTTGTACAATATCATGCAGTCCTGTTTGTGTTTGTATGTGTGTGTGTGTGTGTGTGTGTGTGTGTGCGTGTGTGTGTGTGTGTGGCTGACCTGTGGCTGAGCTGCACACCTCTCAGGCTGGTCATGGTTTCCTCCAGGTTCTGTCGAAGGTCCAGAACATTTTGCACGGTCCTCTTCCTCTGGGATTCTGGGTCTGCAGGGGCGCATATACACATGTTACATCATTAGTGGATGACAAGAACACTGTCTACCTGTTCAAACATTTATATTATATACAGTATGTACAAATGCACATAAATACACTATGAAATATGACCATATATGAGTTGATAATGATGATCATGGATGTTTTATTTATTGACTTTGTTCAAAAATAACCATGCAGACTGATCATTAGTCAGAGTAGTTCCCATCAGTGACCAAACTCTAGGATTACACCAAATCATCTAAATAAAACAAATAAATAAATAAATATACAACTGTCAAAAATAATAAAAATAGAGAACTACAAAAGGAAAGGACAAAACAGAGTCAACAGTGGCAGGGTACGCGCAGTTGTTTTTCCAGATGGCAGTGGAGCAAACAAAATCAAATATGATGGCAGTCAGACAGACAAAACAACATAGAAGACCTTTAAGACCAGACAGGACTCACACTCCAGTCTATCCAGCCAATGCACAGTCACATCTGTCTGGATCCATCTTTCACTCCTCTCCAAGCACCCTCTGTCACAATGCCCTGGTGCCCGTTCATTGCACTGTGCCCCTTTGCCCCTTGCTATCAGAATAAACCAAAAGCCTTTCTCACTTAAACCCACCAGGGAACATATTGGCATTTGTCTCACCCCCTGCTGTTGTAATCTGCTCAGATTGGGCTATATAGATTCATGTTGGGCTATCCTGCCAGACTGCTGCTTCATACGTGTGTGTGTGTGTGTGTGTGTGTGTGTGTCTGAGTGTCTAGATAATTCCCCCTGTGGGTTGGAAGATTGGAAGCAATATAAGAACCAAAGTGGTTCAACCACTTAGTGATACAGGCACCATTTATTCATGCTCAGAAAACAAAACATGTTTCACTTTCACTTTTTACTCCAAAACATGTCAATATGAGAGCTTGATAAGGGGCCCTGCTCACACTTTTGTTGCTACTATCATAGGATTTTCATATCCATGCAATGGTCAGACAGACATAAGACTGAGAACCAGGAAGAAACTACATGTACTCTATCACACATATTCTCACATAGACTGCAATCAGGACACCTACGCTGCATCACGTGACCTTGACCCTTGCTCTCTCTCTCTCCGGCTCAGTGTATTTATGTGTGATGGGGGGGGGGATGGTGATAAAAGAGTTATAGTGTTAAGATATGGGACAGCCTGTTTACCCCTGGGGTTCAGGTCAATAGACCATTATAACTGGCCAGCTGACTCCCAAATGAGCACAGCAAGATTATTTACTAGAACTGAACGACAGTGTAAGAAGAAAATATAAATTAAAAAAACAAAAGTGTACTCGTACTTACTATCACCACTGTGTTACAAAGTCGTTCTTGTCAAACATATACATCTATACATCTATACATCTATCTACAGTTAAACATTTTCAAGTTTCTCAACTGATTTTTAAAAAAGCCATCGCTCAGTTCTCATGTGAAAATCTTTGCTTTAAAGAAATTGCTAGATGGACAAAAAACTGATAGTTAACAGGGTATGGCTGTCGTTGTCCACCACTTTGGTCAAAACTGAATATATATCTCAACAACTATTAGATGGATTGTCGTAGAATTTTGTACAGGCATTCGTGGTCCAATGACTTTGTTGATCCCGTGCCATTTCCTCCAAAAGATTGGCATTTTAGATTAAAGTGGAATATCTATTAAAAACATCACCGTGAAAGTTTGCACAGACATTCATGGAGTCCAGAAGATGAATCCTACTGACTTTGGAGAGCCGATGAGGAAAAACATTGTCCATCAACTTTGACTATATTCGAGCACCAACCATGACGTGAACACAGAGTCCACCTCCTCTCGCCCCACTAGAGTCCTGCACTCTGTCCTGCGGTCCGCCCATCAGATATTCTGTCATATGCCATTAGTGATAAACACGAAAACAACAAACAAATAAAGACAACAATGGGACATCCAAATACCTGCAAAGCTAATGACATTCACATCAGCCTCAGCCTTTGTGTTTATTGCTCATTAGCAAATTATAGCACACTGACCTAAGAGGGTGAACATGGTAAGCATTATACCTGGAGAGCAACGGCATGTTTGCATTGTCTTTGTGAGTATGTTATCATGCTGGCATTAGCATTTAGCTCAATGCCCAGCTGTGCCTAAATACTACCATGGCTGTAACCTTTTTGTCTTGTTAAATATTTAAATAAATTCCCCTTTTATACAATGAGCCCACGGAACAACATATTCTATATACTGAAGCAATCTACTAACACATAACCCTGAAAAGACTCAACCCCCTCCCTCCCTCACACACTCCATTCACAACCACCCCTCCTAGAAACAGTCCAGCTGGCTAGAGAGGAGGTAAAGGGGGGAAGACCATTCTAATGAGTGAGGAGGGCAAATTTTGAGCTGCCAGAGGTGTCAATCTCAACAACAGCTGCAGACTAAACACTGTTCTCACACACACACATATGCACGGTGGGGCTACTCACATACACACACACTTGCACTAGACCCGATTTACAAAGCTAGATTGATTTCTCCTCAAGAGAATGGCCACATAGACAATTGATTAGGCATCCCTGGGGACAGGCAGCTCAGCGGAGAGGGATGATGAAGCCATTGTGATCCAACCTTCTGCTGCTCACATACACTAGACACACACACACACACATTCACACACAGTGCAAATGCTGCTTAACAAAATAAATACGCAAAAATAGAACTACTTTGTTCTGCTGGCGCTGCTCATATTAAAAGGCAGTCGAGCACAGTATGGGAATTCAAGATATAAAGAGCCAGATATCAGCTTTAAAATGTTCCATTTTTGTTATTTGTTAATACAAAGGTTTAATGGGAACAAAGAACCCCTTGAACATGCAAACACAGACAAAAGTCTGACACATTCAGCCACACGCACACACATGCAGGCTTTAATTGGGCAATTTTAATTACCCTTAAACGCGAGCTTTGTTTAACATCGGCGTCAAATTGATTAGATACGGTCTGCATGATTACGCATGTGCCTGTGTGGATGTGTGTGCGTGTCTGTAAAAGACTTCCTGCCCTGTGCCTCTGCCCTGGCGGTCCCAGCTGGCATGTGGGGGGGGGGAAGTGCGGTGGTGGTGGGGGAATTAGGGATGCAAATATCCCTGTCAGCTCCCCAGGGGAGTAGATGAATTACACTGATCTGTTTTAAACTGAGTGTGTGTGTGTGTGTGTGTGTGTGTGTGTGTGTGTGTGTGTGTGTGTGTGTGTTTGTGTGTGTGTGCGTGTAGAAGTGCCTGTGTGCATGTCCACATAGGTGCTGGGACCGGGGCGCTACACCTTCTCAACTTGATACACTTGTGAACACACACTATAAAACTAGCTGAGGAGCATAATGGCCGACTCAGACTCTTAAAATGAGTCAGCAGGTTAGAGTGAGAGTGTTGTTGTAATTGCATGCATGTAGTGCATGAGTGGGACAACTTCTGCATCCTAATGAAAGTCTGCTCTCAGACAAAACAAAGAAAGAAAAACCGAAAAGAAGCAAAAGAAATATGAAGTCAGAGGTGTAAAGGACGGAAAAGTTCTCGACTACCAATGCAGTATTCTAGCTCTTCCTGCAATGTCAGGCTCTCAGCGCCAAGCTTATTTGTTCATGATGAAGATGTGAATCTTTAAAAATGCATCAAAATATATTCTTTTTTTTAAATGTAAAATAATCTCCGAAAATATTTGGGCACTATAGTTTTAGCAAAAAAGACTCCAACAGGATTAAATGGGTTTGTTGTGGACTATTTGCAGCTGAAGATTAATAAAAATGCAGTGCAAGTGTTCATCAATAATGTAGGAACATGTCATCCAGTGCAACAGTGTGTCATCTATGTGTTTTAATAGTCTTTGGACAATAATGGACATCTGTGGCACAGTGAAATAAACTATATCATGGCGAATACCTGATATGAAAAATATAAATGGAAGTCTTATCCCTTAAAAGTAGAGGAAGTTGAAAACGTATGTTTCATGATGGGGATGCCTGATGGTTACTTGGCTAGCAGACAGAGTAAAAAAAATAAAAATAAATAAATGGTTTCCTCTCTTGGGTCACTTGACTCTCCTCTCTATTAGAAAGAGAACAAAAACCTCCCCAAAGACACACTAATGGCTCTGTCCTTGCAGGACTGGTCTGCCATTATGTGTTTGTGCAGCCACATGGCATCCCTCTTTGACAGTGTGTGCCTTTACCAGCGAGAAGTGCAGTTTTGCAGAATATCTATGAATATAGGTTTGAGTAATGGCTCCTGATTCTATTCTTTCCTTCCTTCCCTCCAGAGTTCATTTGTCCCTGTCCCGTCCACGTGCCTGCACATATGTTAGTGTCACCGTAACACTCCTCGGGCCACAGTGCCCTCATCACGTGATAGATGTGTGTGTGATTGAGCCTCGCTGCTACTGCATCACCAAAGGTCTGCACGTTCAGCGATATGTGCAAGTCTTTAAAATAGTAATAGGTTTCCGAAGTGTTTTTACAGCATTCCTGACAAGTGACATACAAGAATCAAAGAAACAGGATGCAAGTAAAACGTTTTTGTTATTGTTCAAGTTTTTACGTCTTGCTCTTTTTGATAATATTTATTTTGGGCATGGTTTGCAAAAAATGAAAAGGTGAAACAAAGGTAGCGCATGTGATAACCCAGATATACACCTGTCACAATGTGAATATGAACCTGCCAAGCTACTAAAATGGTTCATTATTTTATATTTTGTTTGACATTTAGTATAGCGTTCCCTGTATTTTCTCTTTCTGTCCTCTGTCTCCACTCAGATCAGCATCACAGCCATCTGCTGACCTAAGACAGTGAGCAAAACAGGAAGCATTACAACATACAGCCATTCCTGCACATCTGGACAGGGCGGACAAACACGCCAATGCACCCAAATGTGCATCCACACACAAACACACATGCACTAAAGTTCATCCGCTTCACCAGGATGTCGCAACAGGATATTAGACCCTT